CTGCTCCTCCCTGGAAGTGTTCAAGGCCAGGCTGGATGAGGCTTTGAGCAACCTGCTCTAGTGGAAGGTGTCCCTGCTGATGGCAGGGGGGTTGGGACTGGTTGATCTTTAAGGTCCCTTCCAACCCAAACCATTCTATGATTCATTCTATGATTCTATGATACGTTTCTCCTGAAGATCAGACTATCTAGGAGGTGACCTTTCCGATAGGAATTTGAGCCAGGCTTAAGGAAACCTGTATGAGAAGGTTCAGGAATAGGGAAGTGAAGGTACAGCAGCGCAGTCCCTGCAGTGTGTTGGAATGAAGCTCCATCAATTCTGCGTGGGATCTGGGATCAGAAGATTTCTGACAGTTGGAGAAACGAGTTTCTGGAGTGGACAGAAGAGGGAAGAAGTCTTAAAACCTTAGAGCAGTGTTTATTCAGCTTCTGGAAAGGACTCTGTGTATGAATTCTGATAGCAGAGCACTGGAACAAGTAATCCATCAGGTCCTTCCTGGTGTCTTTTTTGTTGTTTTTCTGTGTCAAATCCACACTGGAATGGGTCCACACTTGTTCACTGAGCAAGTGAGAACCTGTGTTCAAGTCAGGATTGTTTCTGGCCCTGATTTACAGACAGAACCAATGAAGTATATAGATTAAACAGAGCAATAAAGATAAAAGACCAGATGAAAACTGCCAGTGGTGTCTTAAATACATTTGAAACAGTGTCAGGTGGATTCCTGAACCCAAACAAGTTTAAACTCTTATTTATATGGCAGCTGTGGGCAGTAAGACAACTAACCTATATATTTAAAAACAAAAGTGTGGCTGACAGTTACTCAGATGAGTGGGAACACTCAGCTGCCTGACCTGCAAGAGCGTACGGAGGTGATGACCTTGCAGGAGAGTTCATCGGGGTGCTGTTCGTGTTTTGTTACTGTTTTTTCCCCCATTCATTGACCTTCCAGGGTTGTAAATCCAGATGAGGTTCTGTTTTGCCTCAGTGTAGTCTTGTTAGTGAAAGGTTGTCTTAGGCTCTTGAGAATGACCTGAGAGAGCTGTTAATAGTTGTTACATCAGGGTGTTAAATAATGTAGGGGATCACAACATGATGACAACATTTCCATGTTGCTAGACTTGACTAACCCAGGACACCCTGTTATTTAATTTTCTATACATCTACATAGCTTTTTCCCCCCCCCTCTCTACTTTGAAACCTCAGAAAAAAATTTAGATTAGATTCTGAAGAGAGCATTTCCAGCGAGGCAGATCAACAAGGTGCTTAAAGCAAGTGGTGTGAATATCTCCTTTGGTCCCAGCTCTAAAGCAGATGGTGAGTTATCTGTTAATTTTAAGAGGACTATTTGCATACACTGCAGCTAAGCTGGAAAAATGTGAGCAGAAGTGTTCAGGACCTCCAGCTGTTTTCAGGCTCTTTGGAGGTGGACATCTCTGCACGGACCTTTTAGGGCTTTAAACTCCCTTTCCCTTTTTTGATAGTGACTGTAAATGTAGAGCTTTAAGTTAGCTCAGATGTATAGGTTATTTATTGGCTTTTTGGATAACTGCTTACCTTTTTTCAGTGTTTTTGCCTTTTTTATCTACAGCTTTCTTTTACTTAAACTTCCAGTGCATTGTGGAAAGAGCACACAAAGAGAAGCTTCACTACTGAGAGCTAAATTGGCTCATTTTCAGAATGATCTTTCAAGAGCTTTGGGATTCATTAGATACCTATTTAGGCTCTGACAGAGGAGAAATGTTGGAAATAAATCTTACTGTGTTCCAACATGTTGAATAACTTAACAGGATAAAAGGCAGGAGTGAAGCATAACCAAGTGTTGAGTTGGAACTTAAAGGTGAACAAGTGTGAAATAGATGAATGGAGAACATCTGTTGTGAAATCTGAAGTCATTAGTGCGACACAAAGTGCAGACGTGGTTGAAAGGTGACTTGGTGTATATTCACTAAGTTGGGATAAGCTGATTCACAGACGTAAAAGGATTGGGAAATTCTGGAGCCCTAAAGTAAGCATTTCTTGTCATTTGCTTCCTGACGTCTTCTCCAGGAAAGCTGTCAGATCTTTGAACTCTGGCTTGACAGGTAAGCAAAGGAGATCTGCAAACGCAGTGTGATTTTCTGCATTCCTTGCAAGAGCTGGAATGCTGTGTAGCTTTCAGCTAATAAGTTTGAGACACTGATGATGGGGGTAGGAATTATTCTTGCATCAGTACAGATAATACTCAGAGCAGGAATTTTCTGCGGAAACTTGGTGCTGACAAAGCAAAGGAATGTTAGGTTGTTAACAGTGCTCCTGAGTGGGGTGAATAGGAGCAGCTCTGCTGTGAGGACAGGCTGAAAGAGTTGGGGCTGTTCAGCCTGGAGAAGAGAAGGCTCCGGGGAGATCTTATAGCAGCCTCCCAGTACCTGAAGGGGCTACAGGCATGCTGGGGAAGGACTTTTCATAAGGGCAGTTAATGACAGAACAAGGGGAAATGGGTTTAAACTGAAAGAGGGGAGGTTTAGATGAGATATTAGGAAGAAGTTCTTCACTGTGAGGGTGGTCGTGCAGTGGCCCAGGTTGGCCAGAGAAGCTGTGGCTGCTCCTCCCTGGAAGTGTTCTCGGCCAGGCTGGATGAGGCTTTGAGCAACCTGGTCTAGTGGAAGGTGTCCCTGCTGCTGGCAGGGGGGTTGGGACTGGATGAGCTTTAAGGTCCCTTCCAATCCAAACCATTCTGTGATTCTATGATAATACGTTTTCATGTTTTGACTTTATTTCTATTAGTCTTTTAAAAATGAAAGCTAGCCATTTGGAATGCTAACTGTTAAAACAGCATCTTGTCCCAACTGCAGAACAAAACTTACCCTGTGTGGCTGTTTCCACTGCGGCTGTAACTTGAACAGACTCTTGTTTGAGGGAAAAAAAACATCGTGCACTGAATGGAACCTGGCTCTGAAACTGAGTCTGGGAGGATGATCAGAAAATTAATAGCCCCTGTGGAAAGTGTAGAAAATAGCTTTGAGCTTTCCACCAAAATATTTTCATATCATGTTTAGTTTTTGTTATGATGTCATTGACCCAGTGTTGTGTATCTGGTTTTCAAACGTTATCCTTGAGGCAGAAGCTCGGTTGTTACTGTAGGCACATCTGGATTATTAGGTCAGCACATCTGGATTGTTGGGTCAGTGCTTCCTGTTTGAAGATGCTTCAGTAGCTACGTACTTTGCTTCTGATCAGTGTTTTTCATTGCTTCAAAAAATTAATACTTTGAAAAAATATGATGCTGAATGTGAATCCAAATCTTCATTTGCAATTTATTTGTTTGATTTAGATTCGGGGCGCGGACAAAAACAACGTGAGGGAACTTCATATCGCGTATCGTTACGGAGAGCACTACGACAGTGTGAGGAGAATCAATGATGATTCTGAAGCTCCAGCGTATCTTCAGATGGAGGTTGGTTATGACAGGATGACCTGAGTCAGCTCTGGGTGATAAATAAAACAGATGAGTGTTACCAGTTGGTTTCCTTTCTCATTTGCTTTGAGATCAAGAAAAGTTTGGTCCCTGTGTCGTGCTGGGGAGAGAAAAGCCCCTGAGGTCATTGTAACTAGTGCTCCCTGCTCTCTTGGGACAGGCTGGGAAGGGTTTAAATTACTGGGCTGAAAATCAACCCGAATCTGATGCTGTGACCTGAGCTGTAGCTGTCTTGAAGCAACCACATCTAAATGACATAATCACACACCTCGAATGGAAAAACAGAGGGAAGGGAGGGAAGAGCAGGAAATGCAACAGCTGGATACAATTGTCCTCTTCATAACTCACTTTGTTGTGTTAAGGAGTAGGCTGTGCTGTCCTTCTCTGCACACAACTGTATAGCTTGTGGCATTCTGGAGCCCCCAACATAAGAAAGACATGGACCAGTTAGAACAAGTCCAGAGAAGGGCCACCAGGATGATGCGAGGGCTGGAGCAGCTCTGCTGTGAGGACAGGCTGAGAGAGTTGGGGCTGTTCAGCCTGGAGAAGAGAAGGCTCCAGGGAGATCTTATAGCGGCCTCCCAGTACCTGAAGGGGCTACAAGAAAGCTGGGGAGGGACTTTTCATAAGGGCAGTTAATGACAAAACAAGGGGAAATGGGTTTAAGCTGAAAGAGGGGAGGTTTAGATGAGATATTAGGAAGAAGTTCTTCACTGTGAGGGTGGTGAGACCCTGGAACAGGTTGCCCAGAGAAGCTGTGGCTGCTCCTCCCTGGAAGTGTTCTCGGCCAGGCTGGATGAGGCTTTGAGCAACCTGGTCTAGTGGAAGGTGTCCCTGCTGCTGGCAGGGGGGTTGGGACTGGATGATCTTTAAGGTCCCTCCCAACCCAAACCATTCTATGATTCTATGATTATTAAAAAATTAACACCTGACTTGCAAAGCCAGTGATTGTTTATTGGTGTGTATGATCTTGCAGTATACGTGAGCTCGCTCAGTAGCGTATGAAACGGTGTCAGGGATGATGGAAATGACACAATTTCCAAGATGCTTTGACACAAGGTATTTCTGAGACAAGTGTGCCATAATAATTAAATTTTATGGCAATGTCAGATTTTTTTACTGCATATGATGAAATTGCTGCGTGGTTGTGTGATCTGCTGGGCTTTGCCTTTCTTGCAGATGCTTTGTAAAAATGATTCAACTAAGGAGGAGGAAGTGAAGCCACAGAGGGGTGACTCTGAAGATGAGATTGAAGTTGAAATGGAAGGTTCTGTACAAAAAGTGTGTAATGCAACTGGATGTTCGGCAAGTATTGAATAGCCTTTTTGTGCTTAATGTTCAGACCTTCTTAATACATCAAAGCAGCCTTGGGAAAAATTCTCAAAAATACTTATCTTGGACAGTTTCAGTAGCAGAGCCACAAATCAGGATGGTTTTCATCCTAGACTCAACCCTTAAATGCAGATGAAATATGTCCTCTGTGTGGACACCTAGTAATTTTGGAAGGTTTGTCTTGCAATCTCTCAGAAAACACTTCAGAACAATTTCTGTAAAATTTTAAGTCCTTTGAGGATGTCTGTAGTTGAACATCCCAAATGACCAGATACTGTGACTCGTAGCCTGTGCAATTCCTGCAGATGCCTGCTGGCACTGTGCAGATGCACAGAACAGAAGGGGCCAGGAGTGAAACACTTACACTGAGACAGAGTATTGCTTTTTCCTGTTTTTGTCAAGATTTTAAGATGTTCTCCCTCAGCTTTTTCAGAAATGGAATACAGGCTAATGGAAAGGTCAGAAAAGCAGACAGCAGCCCCCCCTTACGTGGTTGTTAAATGAATGTACGTCAGTGATTTGAACTCTCTTCAGTGTTATCTTTCTCTCGTGGACAGGACATTGATTTAGTAAGCCGGATTCGGGAAGTGAAGGACTACAGTATAGAATCTGCAATATTTGCCATCTTTCAAGTGGATGAAATGGAAAGAATCAGTAAGTACATGGAAATTGTCACCTGGTGCTTCAGAAGAACGCTGTGTGACGTTAGCATTCACTGTAAACAAGCAGTTCAACGGGGACAGTAGCAGTTGAAGCTTGCTGTTGCCTGTGCTGCTGTCTCAGCCTTTCTCTGCTCAGGAAGGTTATTAGTGAGAGAAAATTCAATCCAGCTTCTGGAAAAAAAAACCCAGTGTTCCAGAAATTCTGAAAGAAGGAATTGGCTGACAGTGATACAGCTTCTGGGTAGAGTGTGGCTGAGAAAAACCCCTGTTGTTGGTAGGTACTGAGGAGCACCA